ACCTCTACAGCATGTAACAGTTAGGATAGCATGTATGATCTCTGTGGTATGTCACCTGTCTAACTGAATGTTTTGGAGCTTGTCAGGTTTATAGTAACTGCTGATTTACACCACAGTTGCATTTAGGCCAGTAGCCAAGGACAGTAGTGTAGAATCGTCATCGCATGTGGACAAACATTGCATGCTCTGTCTTGTGGCAAATCCAAAGAACACATTGACACAACAACACATTGATCATATAATGGATTTAAAATCACCATTCGATAAATAAGTAAACTAAATAAATGAAACAACAAAATTTGTCCCTCTTAAATTGTGAGAACAGAACAACATGCATGAAAATGTTACCTTTTTAGGTGTATTTTTCCATTTTATGCTAACAATTATGCAACTTGGTTACAGGTCAACATACAGGAGCAAAATAACAGCAAATGCATCCACTTAATGTTTAAATACTACTACACTCTTTAGAACAACAAATTCAACATACCTGCATTTATGACAAAGGACAGTAGTGTTGAATCGTCATCTCATGTGGACAAACAGCAGCAACAACCTGTCTGGAAAAACAGCACCATGTTAAAGTTAGCAAGCTACCCTGGAGAGAACACAAAATGAATGGTTAACTTCATTTAAAGATGGCAAATTAATCTAATATTCAACAAAATAAGGCTAGCTCAACCTTTTATGTGATTTTCAACTTAGTTATCATTGATAGTCCAAGGATATTCACACCTTACCTAATAGTAAATTCTCCATTGCTTGGAAATTATCCATAATCCTTTACCTTAGTGATTAATAACGTTACTTGATGCAGGTACAACTTTATAACAGCAGGTGGCATAGTTGTCCCATTTTATTTAACTTTGTTACAGAATACACTATTTACTCAAATGTGCAATATTAATATTTGCTGCTATTTTGTCAAATATGCAATAATAATCTATGCCAGAGGCACCACTTTTAACACTCAATTTTGGTCTTAATGTATATTTATCATTTAGCTCTCATTTTATGTGTTATTGAACTAGTACTCAGTGTTTCCCCACACAGACTTTAACACAGAGAGCTGTTAGCTATTGGATGTGCACACAGTGGATATTTACAAGCACAGACCAAGTAAAGCCACAGTGAACACACCACTGCAGATGTCATTCGTTAGCTACAACGTTGGTTTCATTCTGATAGGCAACTTCGTCAACAGTCCCCTGCTACTTTCTGGGAAGAGATATAGAGATAAGTTTCAGCTGCCGCACCACCAGACTGCTGAGCAGTTTTCCCCCCAAGCTATCACAGGGGTGTAGGAGTGACTTTGAATCTTGGGGGGGGGGGGCACTGAAATGCTAGGGGAGTTCGGGGGCATGCCTCCCCGATTTTATTTTAAATAAAGCACTTAAATGCTCATTTCTAATGACTTTTGAAAACAGATTGTACTTATTAGTGTGGCTGAAAGAGGGTCTTTGCAGTGAGAAGATATGGAGAATAGGGGGAGAGGGGATGAAGATTCGGGTGCACAGTCAGAGAGAGAGTGTAATATACTAGAACAAAACTCCACTGACTACCTACCATAAAAACCATGGAACAGCTGCTAGTTAATGTAGCTAGCCACAGTACAAATGTATTTAGTTATCCTAATGTTTCAATTGATGTAAGCTGTCTGTGATATTCCCTGTGTCTCACTTGGCATTGACTCTCCCTGCAAAATGTTTGTGAACACAGAATGCAAACTCTGATGACATGCTATTGACCTAACAAAGTCTTTTTACTACGTGAGTTTTAGAATGTCTAGTAGCTATCCATACAACTTACAAGCTTGTTCTCCTCAGTTTTTTCTACTACTCCTGTGACCTCTGTCCTCTTCCTTTTAAAATACTGTAGGATGCTCGTCTCTGTGTGAACATTTTGACCACTTTCAAATTGTTGATGGACATGTAGCTTAGACACATACACACCTCAGGCCGCAAGTTTTTAAGGTCAAGGATGGTCACGAACAGAGGCAAAAAAGTGGCCCAGGAGTTTGTCCCTGCTCAGCCCACTCTCCAGACAAAGCATTTGTCGGGGCCTCTGGATCTTTAGAGACCTTTACTCCAATTACTCCCATAAAAAGTAAAAGTAAAATGACAAACCTACTCAAGTAAAAGTAAAATATATTTAATAATATAATTAATCTGCTGTTCATCAGTTTAGAAACAGCTGCTGTGCAACATGTTATTTCTAGGGAATGCAATCTGCTATCTGTAATTTAGTTATTTCTGATTAATATAATTATTTTCCTTTTTAAATCTCCATGAATATATTGATAAGATCATTTTAAAATATCACGCTTGCTGCCCAGTCACTATTTGCAGTAACACAGGCAGCCAATACAATAATATTATTCCTAAAGCATCTATGAACCTAATGTTCACAACGCAAACAATTATTGTGGCAGTAAAACGGGAGCAGCTCGTTGTTGAAGCAGGGTAAGCCTTCATACAGAGGAAGCTGTGCGTCATTCGTAAAGCCCAACAGGATGGTTTTATCCACCCATATTTTCTCTCACTCTCTGTGCATCTCAGAATTTTTTGTTTGCTGAATAAATAACAGTTGGTAGCTGCTGATCCAAAGCCAAGATTAGTTTCAGTGGCGACATTTTGTTTATGGACTCACCGTCAGGCATTGCTATAAAACAAATAATAACCGATGTGAAAGAAAGAGGCTTATGTCCATCTTTTCATCAACAGGATAGTGTTAATATATCAGAATCCATCTTGTGAAAGAGCGATGCAGGCTGCTTTCCAGCAGGCCACCAGTGCCATGGTGTGCACTCACTGGATTTCAGTTCTATTCATAGAACAATAAAGCCTTAAACTGAAAAGCTATTTGCCTGATTTTGTAAATGGCGGATCTGTGTAACTGCGCGCACACAGCCTGGATGGCTCATTTCGATTAATGAAGCCTAATGCAGATTACAGACTGGTGAAGGTATGAATCGAAAATGTAGCGACTGTTGAGCTCAAATTCATCCTCAGCACTGCTCCACTGAATATAGTTTATTTCTGTTTACCATTTTTGTAATTGCTTTTATATGTATTATTGTCTGCTACTTAGAAGAAGGGAGTTACAAACATTACCTAACAGTTACCGAAATGCGGCGCACCATCAGCTCTCTGATTACTTTTGATCCAAAGTTTTATCACATTAAATTCAAACACTCTAATACGCTTTGATTCCTGTGGACTTCAAAAACTGCGTTAACCATGTATTAAGTTATACTATTGTTTTTTGAGCATCGTTAGCACAGCTTGTCGCGCTTGAAGCTGGCTAATTAGCTAGTTAAATGGCTAAGCTAACGACCTAATGTAATGTACCAATACCTGCTAATTATTGCTAACAACATATTAATAAAATGCTAGGATTTCACTTACCAACTGGAGCACATGCTTCTTGGAAGGTCTGTTAGTACAATAAACTTCATAGTAAGACATCATCCATCCGGTATTTGCATGAAAAATCTCCATAAGGTCACAACAAGGTGACGATGTCAAGTTCCGTGACTGCAATTAGCAGAGTGAGGCTGCCTTGAAATGAACACTTCCATGAGTGATTAATTGGAGGTCCAAAACACATTGATTGGCAGTTGCGTTTGCAAAGGAAAAGCAATTACAAGTCTGAATGGCAATGACATTAGGTTTCGTTAGGAAAAAGCAAAAGCTTATGTATGTATTTATTCTTTAATTGATTTATTCTTTCCTATATTTCCACATTTATTTATTTATTCTTTCATTCATTCATTCTTTCTTGCATATCTTTCCCCAATAATTTATTTATTCTTTCATCCAGTTCTGACACTTTGGGAGTTCCATACTTGCAGCCTCTTGCACTCAATCACTTTCCAAGTTACGTCCCTAAAGTCTGTGAGGCTTTACAGGGCTTAGGGGGGACAATGGGATTGGGCCTTAGCTTTGATGGTCCACCACATCAAGGAAGCACCAAGCTGCAACCAAGCAGGTTGAAGAGCACGTTAACATGGTTGTCCACACCCACTTCAAAGTTTCCTCCAGTCCTTTGTCTGGCCTGTTCCTGGTACCACTGCTTCTTCAGCACTTTAATATGCATCTCATTTTCACTCTATGGCCAAGATGGCTCAAAACTGGATTAATTCAGCAAATTTTCTCTTTCCTCTGAACTTCTCACTCCTCTGTTATCCTCCATGCATGAAATGTTTGTCCTTCCCTTCCTCCAGCTCACAGGAGCCTAATTTATCACCTCCTGCTCAAACCACACCCTCAATCAAAAGCAAAAGGCCCACTCTGCCACTCTCCTACCCCTTTCTGCTACAACTTTTAATTTGTGATGTATAATTAGATCCCGGGTATATTCAATTCTTTCTTTAATTTTACATGTATATTTTGTGATTGTTGCCTCTTGATTTAGTGAACTCTTGTATTTTGCTAAATCGTGTTGTATTCATTAGTTAAGTACTTTTTTCCTTTCTTTTCTTTTTTCTTAAGTAGAGGTTCGTTGTATAAGCGCATGACTTCTGGACCTTTGCTGTAACATCTGTTTTAGTTCTATTAATGGGATTCATGCTGTTATTTGTGTATACAAATAAAAAACTAAACAACCTAAAACCTAATAAAATCTATACAAAGACCCTCCTTGCATGCAATAGCTGTTTTTAGATAAAAAAAATTTAATTGATATGATATTTTTAACATCTGCTTATGTATTATCAGATAAATAAAACAATTCCAGTTTAAAATAACAAAATATCCAGTGGACCGAATAAACTGTTTTCAAGTTGACTTTGCAATTCCATTTCAAAAAAGATTTGAGGATACTGAATTGGGCTTATCGAATACATTTATATTTACATACTTTAATACAATACACTGGGCTGTTGTTTGTTGATAATCTATTTCTAATATCCAGCCTTCCATCTAATAAACTTTCTGAACTTCTGTTCTGTATCAACTGATCAAACATACCAGTAACATTTTGTCTGTTTCCTTTGGCAGGTATAGACCAAGCTACACGGGCAGCAACGGTCAAAGGTCAGTGATAACATAAACACTACTTATGTACACTTTTCAACACGACAGTTACAATGTGCTTTTTAGCAGAGAAAGATTTTTTTTTTGAAGATGCAAACGTTGAATAGAAAAACACACACTGACACTAACAGAACAAATGCTACATTATACATCACATGTCACTGATGATTTTCCATACACCTACTCTTTAAGTCACAAAATTACATAAAGTTCAAGACAAAAGGTTTAACTTTAATTTTCTTCTATTTCATGTTCAAATAACAGATGTCTTTAGTCTACAGTTTAGTTTAGTTTGGTTAAATCTATTTAACTTTCTAAACTTTATCAATACACTGTTTTAAATGACACCTGCTTTACATTTTGTGTATATTTCCTCTGACAGAAGAGAACCCATGTTCAGTCTGGCTGTAAGCATCCCATACGACAGTGACAGGAAAATATATGACATCAGTCAAGTCACTGACACTCGTGAACAAGTCTGGCAAAGTATTTTGAAGAAATGTGAAGTGTACACCAGTAAGAGGATGGTCGCAGCTACAGTTCTGAGATGGCCCAATGTTGTGGATCAATGTCCTGAGGGACGTGTGCAATGGTCTGATCTTCCAACAAAATGTGGTCAAACGTGGGTTGATGTTAAAAAAAAATTATCCCACAGAAATCAAAGATGGTAGAGCGGATCATGCAGAGTACCGTATTCTACAAAACTTTGACACCTTGGTCAGCAATCATGACAAAAATGATTTGTTGCTTTTCTACGTTCTTGCTTCCCCGTGTGATCAAAGATGTACAAATGAATCTAGTCCCTATAACATTCTCAATAGCATAAAAAATGATTCAGCAGTGGAATAACTATGCTATTGTGTTTTCCAATGTATTTAACCCCCGTGATGGTGACCCACGTGGATCCATTGAGCGGCTTGGGCAATCAGTTGGTCTGATCAATATATTCCGTTGCACAGGAGGTGAAATGCAGTGCACAAGCTGCTCTAGCGGTAAACAAGTTACACCCTATTGTTATTTAGAGGAACCACAACCTTCCCCAACAAATATAGCAGAAGTTGTGTCCTCCTCCCAAAGTGGGCTTGGTAGCAATAATGGAAATTATGGTTCTAATACAGGTGAAATCATCTCCCCATCACAAACAGGTCCTAGTTATGGCAATGGAAATAATTTAAATGAAGGAGGTGGTTCCTTCTCCCAAAGCGGGCTTGGTAGTAATAATGGAAATTATGGTTCTAATACAGGAGAAAGCATCTCCCCATCACAAACAGGTCCTAGTTATGGCAATGGAAATAATTTAGATGAAGGAGGTTTGTCCTCCTCCCAAAATGAGCTTGATAGCAATAATGTAAATTATGGCTCTAAGACAGGTGAAAGCATCTCCCCATCACAAACACGTGAAAATTATGGCAATGGAAATTTTTATTTTAAAACAGGTGGCAGAAAACCGAGTGGCAGCAGTATTAGTAAAAACACAAAAGAGGACAGGCGCAAAGGAGGAAAAGGTTTAGGAATGGGCTGGCGCAAGGGAGGAAAAGGGAGAGGAATGGGCTGGCACAAAGGAGGAAAAGGGAGAGGAATGGGCTGGCGCAAGGGAGGAAAAGGTAGAGGAATAGGCTGGCGCAAGGGAGGAAATGGCAGAGGAATGGGCTGGAGCAAAGGAGGAAAAGGCAGGGGAATGGGCTGGCGCAAAGGAGGAAAAGGCAGAGGAATGGGCTGGCGCAAGGGAGGAAAAGGCAGAGGAATGGGCTGGCACAAAGGAGGAAAAGGTAGAGGAATGGGCTGGCGCAAAGGAGGAAAAGGCAGAGGAATAGGCTGGCGCAAGGGAGGAAATGGCAGAGGAATGGGCTGGAGCAAAGGAGGAAAAGGCAGAGGAATGGGCTGGCGCAAGGGAGGAAATGGCAGAGGAATGGGCTGGAGCAAAGGAGGAAAAGGCAGAGGAATGGGCTGGCGCAAAGGAGGAAAAGGGAGAGGAATGGGCTGGCGCAAGGGAGGAAAAGGCAGAGGAATAGGCTGGCGCAAGGGAGGAAATGGCAGAGGAATGGGCTGGCGCAAAGGAGGAAAAGGCAGAGGAATGGGCTGGCACAAGGGAGGAAAAGGCAGAGGATGGGCTGGCGCAAGGGAGGAAATGGCAGAGGAATGGGCTGGCGCAAGGAGGAAAAGGCAGAGGAATGGGCTGGCGCAAAGGAGGAAAAGGTAGAGGAATGGGCTGGCGCAAGGGAGGAAAAGGCAGAGGAATGGGCTGGCGCAAAGGAGGAAACGGCAGAGGAATGGGCTGGCGCAAAGGAGGAAAAGGTATAGGGATGGGCAGGCGCAAAGGAGGAAAAGGCAGAGGAATGGGCTGGAGGAAAGTAGGAAAAGGCAGAGGAATGGGCTGGAGCAAAGGAGGAAATGGCAGAGGAATGGGCTGGCGCAAAGGAGGAAAAGGTATAGGAATGGGCTGGCGCAAGGGAGGAAAAGGCAGAGGAATAGGCTGGCGCAAAGGAGGAAAAGGCAGAGGAATGGGCTGGCGCAAGGGAGGAAAAGGCAGAGGAATAGGCTGGAGCAAAGTAGGAAAAGGCAGAGGAATGGGCTGGCGCAAGGGAGGAAAAGGCAGAGGAATGGGCTGGCGCAAAGGAGGAAAAGGCAGAGGAATGGGCTGGCGAAAAGGAGGAAAAGGCAGAGGAATGGGCTGGAGCAAAGGAGGAAATGGCAGAGGAATGGGCTGGCGCAAAGGAGGAAAAGGTATAGGGATGGGCTGGCGCAAAGGAGGAAAAGGCAGAGGAATGGGCTGGAGGAAAGTAGGAAAAGGCAGAGGAGTGGGCTGGAGCAAAGGAGGAAATGGCAGAGGAATGGGATGGCGCAAAGGAGGAAAAGGTTTAGGAATGGGCTGGCGCAAGGGAGGAAAAGGCAGAGGAATAGGCTGGCGCAAAGGAGGAAAAGGCAGAGGAATGGGCTGGCGCAAGGGAGGAAAAGGCAGAGGAATAGGCTGGAGCAAAGTAGGAAAAGGCAGAGGAATGGGCTGGCGCAAGGGAGGAAAAGGCAGAGGAATGGGCTGGCGCAAAGGAGGAAAAGGCAGAGGAATGGGCTGGCGCAAAGGAGGAAAAGGTAGAGGAATGGGCTGGCGCAAGGGAGGAAAAGGCAGAGGAATGGGCTGGCGCAAAGGAGGAAAAGGTTTAGGAATGAGCTGGCGCAAGGGAGGAAATGGCAGAGGAATAGGCTTGCGCAAAGGAGGAAACGGCAGAGGAATGGGCTGGCGCAAAGGAGGAAAAGGCAGAGGAATGGGCTGGCGCAAAGGAGGAAAAGGCAGAGGAATGGGCTGGCGCAAGGGAGGAAAAGGCAGAGGAATGGGCTGGCGCAAGGGAGGAAATGGCAGAGGAATGGGCTGGCGCAAGGGAGGAAACGGCAGAGGAATGGGCTGGCGCAAGGGAGGAAAAGGCAGAGGAATGGGCTGGAGCAAGGTAGGAAAAGGCAGAGGAATGAGCTGGCACAAGGGAAGAAAAGCTATAGGAATGGGCTGGAGCAAAGGAGGAAATGGAAGAGGAATGGGCTGGCGCAAGGGAGGAAAAGGCAGAGGAATGGGCTGGCGCAAAGGAGGAAAAGGTATAGGAATGGGCTGGAGCAAAGGAGGAAAAGGTAAAGGAATGGGCTGGCGCAAGGGAGGAAAAGGCAGAGGAATTGGCTGGAGCAAAGGAGGAAGTGGAAGAGGAATGGGCTGGCGCAAGGGAGGAAAAGGTATAGGAATGGGCTGGCGCAAAGGAGGAAAAGGCAGAGGAATGGGCTGGCGCAAAGGAGGAAAAGGTATAGGAATGGGCTGGAGCAAAGGAGGAAAAGGTATAGGAATGGGCTGGCGCAAGGGAGGAAATGGCAGAGGAATGGGCTGGAGCAAAGGAGGAAGTGGAAGAGGAATGGGCTGGCGCAAGGGAGGAAAAGGCAGAGGAATGGGCTGGCGCAAGGGAGGAAAAGGCAGAGAAATTGGCTGGCGCAAAGGAGGAAAAGGTAAAGGAATGGGCTGGCGCAAGGGAGGAAAAGGCAGAGGAATTGGCTGGAGCAAAGGAGGAAAAGGCAGAGGAATGGGCTGGCGCAAAGGAGGAAAAGGCAGAGGAATGGGCTGGCGCAAGGGAGGAAATGCTATAGGAATGGGCTGGAGCAAAGGAGGAAAAGGTAGAGGAATGGGCTGGCGCAAGGGAGGAAAAGGTATAGGAATGGGCTGGAGCAAGGAGGAAAAGGTAGAGGAATGGGCTGGCGCAAGGGAGGAAAAGGCAGAGGAATGGGCTGGCGCAAAGGAGGACAAGGTATAGGAATGGTCTGGCGCAAGGGAGGAAATGGCAGAGGAATGGGCTGGAGCAAAGTAGGAAAAGGCAGAGGAATGGGCTGGCGCAAGGGAGGAAAAGGCAGAGGAATGGGCTGGCGCAAGGGAGGAAATGGCAGAGGAATGGGCTGGCGCAAGGGAGGAAATGGCAGAGGAATGGGCTGGAGCAAAGGAGGAAAAGGCAGAGGAATGGGCTGGCGCAAGGGAGGAAATGGCAGAGGAATGGGCTGGAGCAAAGGAGGAAAAGGCAGAGGAATGGGCTGGCGCAAGGGAGGAAAAGGCAGAGGAATGGGCTGGCGCAAAGGAGGAAAAGGCAGAGGAATGGGCTGGCGCAAGGGAGGAAAAGGCAGAGGAATGGGCTGGCGCAAGGGAGGAAAAGGCAGAGGAATGGGCTGGCGCAAAGGAGGAAATGGCAGAGGAACTAGGCTGGCGCAAGGGAGGAAAAGGCAGAGGAATTGGCTGGCGCAAAGGAGGAAAAGATAAAGGAAGGGGCTGGCGCAAGGGAGGAAAAGGCAGAGGAATTGGCTGAGCAAAGGAGGAAAAGGCAGAGGAAATGGGCTGGCGCAAAAGGAGGAAATGGAGAGGAATGGGCTGCGCAAAGGAGGAAATGGAAGAGGAATGGGCTGGGCGCAAAGGAGGAAATGGAAGAGGAATGGGCTGGCGCAAGGGAGGAAAAGCTATAGGAATGGGCTGGAGCAAAGGAGGAAATGGAAGAGGAATGGGCTGGAGCAAAGGAGGAAAAAGGCAGAGGAATGGGCTGGCGCAGGAGGAGGAGAAGGTATAGGAATGGGCTGGAGCAAAGGAGGAAAAGGCAGAGGAATGGGCTGGCGCAAGGGAGGAAAGGGCAGAGGAATTGGCTTGAGCAAAGGGAGGAAATGGCAGAGGAATGGACGGAGCAAAGGAGGAAAAGGCAGAGGAATGGGCTGGGGCAAAGGAGGAAAAGGTATAGGAATAGGTGGAGCAAAGGAGGAAAAGGTATAGGAATGGGCTGGCACAAAGGAGGAAATGGCAGAGGAATGGGCTGGCGCAAGGGAGGAAAAGCTATAGGAATGGGCTGGAGCAAAGGAGGAAACGGAAGAGGAATGGGCTGGGCAAGGGAGAAGGTATAGGAATGGGCTGGCGTAAAGGAGGAAAAGGCAGGCAGAGGAATGGGCTGGCGCAAGGGAGGAAAAACGCTATAGGAATGGGCTGGCGCAAGGGAGGAAAAGGCAGAGGAATGGGCGGCGCAAGGGAGGAAAAGGCAGCGAGGAATGGGCTGGCGCAAGGGAGGAAATGGCAGAGGAATGGGTGGCGCAGGGAGGAAATGGCAGGGAATGGGCTGGAGCAAAGGAGGAGGAAATGGCAGAGGAATGGGCTGGAGCAAGGAGGAAAAGGCAGAGGAATGGGCTGGGCAAGGGAGGAAAAAGGTATAGGAAGGGCTGGGCCAAAGGAGGAAAAGGTTTAGGAATGGGCTGGAGCAAAGGAGGAATAGGCAGAGGAATTGGATGGCGCAAGGGAGGAAAAGGTATAGGAATGGGCTGGCGCAAGGGAGGAAAAAGGCAGAGGATGGGCTGGCGCAAAGGGGAAAATGGCAGAGGAATGGGCTGGCGCAAGGGAGGAAAAGGTATAGGAATGGGTGGCGCAAAGGAGGAAATGAGAGGAATGGGCTGGCGCAAGGGAGGAAATGGTAGAGGAATGGGCTGGAGCAAAGGAGGAAA